TAAAAATGTAAGAACAATGAAAATGAAAAATGACAAAGACCCGGCAATGTGCAGGTTAAATCAATTGCAGCTGATAAGACTAAAATGCATATCTGTGGAAAAATCTTTCGACCATACACATCGGGATTTCAGAGTCGAGACAGCGGCTCTCCCCGTGCGCTTTCCTGATGAAACAGTTTCACGAAGTGCGCAGTTTTCTCCACTCGTTGGAATTTAGGTGCTGAAGGGCCCCGGATACGGGTCACGCAGGGTGTAGCTGCTGCCTCTATCAGAAAGGAATCAAAGCTGCGTTTTACAAAGGTAAGATGCGTTTTACACCCACGCCATAGGAATATGAGAGAACGCCAAACCGGGCGTTTATCAGCATGCGGGATTAGGCTGTTAGTTAGGGGTTTTTTTGGCATTAAAATGTTGCGCTAAAGTCAAGACCGCAACTGGCTCACCGTTGCTCCCTACACAACGTGAGATCGCCACAAGGCACCGCCACCATTGTAATTCTGCCCATAAAGAAGGAAAATAAATTAACAGCGACGCCAGCTGTAGTAGCTGCTATACTGATTATTATTTAATAAGCGAAGGATTATAGGATTATATTATCTTCAGTAATAAATAATGGAGGGGAGGTTGTGCCTTTATGTAGGAAGCAACAACAAGCAAGGGGCACGTTGTGGCCTCGCAACCGGTAGGTTATTCAATTAGAAACCGTGATTTCGCTGAACCTTAGACCTTTAATATTCTCGGCACTTTGGACTGCGCTGACAAGATCGTGTTTACTGTACCCACCTCAGGGAGAAATTAAATCTCGGAGGTCGCTTATCTAGTTAGGGCGGCCTGATCTCGTTAGTTCGGATGGGTTTTATTTGAACTGATTGCGTTGCATTTCCGGGCGGACGCAACCTTTGGTTTTGAAGAGGAGGGTGGGGGGTAGCTTTTCAGTTTTATTTCAGGACTCCTAGAACTATCATTAAATATCATTACAAATGCTGAACTTTCGGTCGCGGTATTTCGATCGACTTTGATTACTTAATTTATTTAGGATGGCTTCTTTCTTCTGTGAATGTAGCTGTAGCCCTGTACTACACCAGACACGGAATTGAATGAGCCAACAACTCTATAAAATGCTTGTATGTGTTTTATGTATTTTATTCCGGAAAACTGATGTTTTCTTACCCATTTCAGTGACTTCTAAGATCTTAGATCTAAGATCAACGATGTTGGCCCATGTGTATGTGTTGATTCTTTTCATTAAGTAAAATACATTTCATTTATAACAGGACAAGAATGTCCTGTTATAAAGTAGAGCTCAAAGAATTAGCACGAAAGCAGACTCGCATTTAACAATTCAGTTCCAGGCTACTTTATGTATGCTTTATATATAGCATATTCTCCACACAGCTGGTGGCACTGACGTTAGAACGTGTGCCTGCAATCCAGTATTAATTTCAGAGGGTTTCCTTGAGGTACTGTTTATTTTTAGCCTTTAACAAAACGTGTGTGTTTGCAAATCTGTCTGTAATTCTGCGTTGAAGATTGGTGATATTCCTGCTACCGCAGTGTGCGTTTTTGTGTGGAGGAAAGCGATTAGACTTCAGTGGTTTCAGAGGGTGGCTCTCCCCGCTAGTCTGAATAATACTTGAATCTGCTTGCCGCTTTCATTTCTTTTCATTACTGCGGTCTTGCCTGCGTTTCTTCTTTTGGACAGTCTCTATGCAAAAAAAAACCTTCCATCAGACAGCTGTCAGGTTGCAGCTAGCACCTCCGCTGCATGAAAAACCGAGGAGAGTGAAGCACGCTGCTAGGGGCTGTCCATCAGCTCTCTGACCGGACGGCACAGGTCATCTCAGACCGGTTACTAGACTCTAAGGACGACGAATTTTCATTTTCGTGGCGCAGGACCGAGATAATATGTTGAACCTTTGACTTACACGTAATGGTGGTTTTTGATCAGACTTTGGAGGAACATTCCGCGCCCTTGTTAGCTGTTGGTTTTTTTTGAAATAATCTGTAGGTTTATTAGGGCAATCATTTTTGGAGCTAGCATGTGCTCTGGAAATGGGAAGGTGACGTTGGCGGCCTGTCGAAAAGCGAGCAAAGCGTTTAGCAACACTGTCAAAGGCATGAGCCCTTAAAAATAATTTCTCAAGTGCACGTCAGGAGTCAGGGGGCTTTAGTCGTCGTTTGGAGCTATGCAGTGGTACATTAGAACATTTCAGATAACATTTCCTTCAGCAGAAGCAACAAGAGTAAGAGTTTTAAGACAATTTGGTCGATTTAAAATTAATTCGGGTTTTCTTAAAGAGGACGTTGCTTGAGAATTGTTTGATGTATGTGGAGGTCTATAATTACTTGCGAAAGTTCAACCCTTGTTTAAAAATAAATAATAACAGTATTTAAATAAATAATGACAGTAATTTAACATGGGGGGGAAGCAAACAAAAGTGTAATTGATTTCTGTAATATTTCAAATTGCATGCTGATATTTTCGATTTCTTTATGGACCGCCTTAAAGACTCTCTTCAAGTTGGCGTGTGTATGCAGCGGCCTCCAGTGGCAACTAGGCGTAAGTCTCCAAAATCAAGAATTAACCCGAGACCGCGGTGGCCCTTCTAAACCGTGTTTCCTGCCCCTTTCTAACCGCGTCCTCGACGCGAGAGTCGTGGGGGAGCTGGGGGCCTGTCGATGCAGGAAACGGACGCAGGGTGCGGTACACCCTGGACAGGACAACAGTCCATCACACCCAGCCAGCAGCTGTAGCACCCTGCCGTTCCCAACTTACAACCCACTGGAGCTCAGCAGGTGGGAGTCTGGCCAGTACCTGGTTGGGAGACCTCCTGGGGAAAAACTAGGGTTGCTGCTGGAAGAGGTGTTAGTGGGACCAGTAGGGGGTGCTCACCCTGTGGTCTGTGTGGATCCTAATGTCCCAGTATAGTGATCCCAGGGTGTTTCTTGAAAAGAGTAGGGGTGTTACATGGGTGTCCTGGCTAAATGTCCCACTGGCCCTTACCAATCATGGCCTCCTAATAATCCCCCTCTCTGAACTGGCTTCATCACTCTGCTCTCCTCCCCACTGAGAGCTGATGCGTGTGAGAGGACTGTTGCACTGTGGCTGCCGTCGCATCATCCAGGTGGGGGCTGCAAGTGGTGGAGGGGAGTCCCCATTCCCTGTAAAGTGTTTTGAGTAGAATGTGCAGAAAAGCGCTCTATAAGTGTAAGGAATTATTATTACACACAAACTCCAGGGCCAGTTTCCCCAGAAGGCATGTAACCTACCAGCAGGTCTTGGGACTGTGTGAGGAAACCCCTGCAAAGAGAGTGAGAACATAAAGACCCCACACAGACAGCACGCAGGGCTCCCGCGCGGCAGTGCTAACCCTTTCACGGCCATGCCACCCTGATGTTGTGCAGCGGAATTCAGAGAGCGTGCCAAAACCACCCTCTTAATTGTGCACCTAATTATTAACCACTTCAACATTCCTGTTATTTACTGGGGTTACGCTAGCATTGTTTATGTCTTTACTGTTTTTAAAAATAGAGGTGCAGGCGTGCAGTATGGCCAAGCGGGACCTGATTCTGCGGGGCGTGAACATCTTCAATGTGAAAAGGCAGTAGAAAGAATAGGGGGTGCAGAGCAATCCGACAACTTGCAATTACACAAAGGTTTCATAGGCAGCTTGTCCAATATGGGCTGTAGGTAACTTGTATACCTGTATAACTTGTTTCTAAAAGCCGTGTTTTCTCTTTTCCCCTCTGCGTGCGCTTCAGGGACCTGCTGCATCATCTCTCTGTGCACCTGCGTGGCCGGGATCAACTTCGAGCTGTCCCGTTACCCGCGGCACATGTACGGACTCCCCGAGGACATCAGCCACGGCTACGGCTGGTCCATGTTCTGCGCCTGGGGCGGCCTGGGCCTCACCCTGCTGGCCGGGTTCCTGTGCACGCTGGCCCC